TCATTGTCAATGAATATGATACGCAGTCTCTACAAGAAAGACAAAGGGTTATGCGACAAACATTTTCTAGCGATTATGAAGACCATCTTGTGGGGTTGGAGAAAAATGTTGAGCAATTGGTTGGCTATTTGGTGGAGGAAGATAGCAGTCAAGTGGTTTCTATAACTGGAATGGGCGGTATTGGTAAAACTACTTTGGCTCGACAAGTTTTTAATCATGAGATGGTAAAACACCATTTTGATGGAGTTGCGTGGGTGTGTATATCACAACAGTTTACAAGGAAATTTGTGTGGCAGACGATTTTTCAAAAGCTTAGTTCAAAACAAGATGAGCCAAGGGACTCAAATATGAGTGAAATGGAGCTTCAGGACAAACTCTTTCAGCTTTTGGAAACCAGTAATTCTTTGATTGTCCTGGATGACATGTGGAAGGAAGAAGACTGGGACATTATAAAGCCTGTGTTTCCATCAAAGAAAGGTGACATCTTATGCTTCATCTTATTTAACAGATATAAGACTTTATTACTTTTCTTAAACTTTGACTGTACTTGGTTAAGAAAATTATTGAACATGACTAGGCATATATTTCCTTTTGCTTAAAAGTCAAAATATATTGCAGGATGGAAGATACTACTTACTTCTCGCAACGAGAACGTTGCAATTCGTGCAGATCCTTTGTGTGTCATTTTCCAACCAGAATGCCTAACCCCTGATGAAAGTTGGACACTTTTTCGAAGGATAGCGTTTTGTAGAGAAAATGCTACTCGTAAGCTTTCAAGATCCTTTTTAAATTAATTTTTACTTAGAATGATCACAATACGCTTTTCCTTAATAATATCTCTCCAACACGCCTAAAACCTAGGGATATTCATGTTATTTCATCATATCCTGATGATGTCGTGCAGAGTCTAAGGTTGATGTAGAAATGGAAGAGATGGGTGAGCAGATGATCAAACATTGTGGAGGACTACCATTGGCGGTTAAGGTATTAGGAGGCTTGTTAACTGCCCAACATACATTAAATGAGTATCTGAAAATATTAAATCTCACATCAGTGGAGGGACTAGCTTCAATGACAGAAATATCAGTTCGGTTTATCATATATTGTCTCTGAGCTTTGAAGAGCTGCCTGTTAATTTGAAGCAATGCTTCCTCTACCTTGCCCATTTTCCAGAAGATCATCCAATGCCTGTTTGGGATTTGTCCTTTTACTGGGCAGCAGAAGGAATACCAAGGCCAAGGTATTACGATGGAGCGACAATTCAAGAGGCTGCAAATGGATAGATAGAAGAATTGGTGAAGAGAAACATGGTCAAACGAGATGTTGGTACTTGGAGATTTGAGACATGTTACCTACATGACATGATGAGAGAAGTTTGTCTGCGTAAAGCTGAAGAAGAGAATTTCGTACATATTGTTGATATTGCAAACTCTCAATCTCCTTGTACATCTCGCAAAGTTGCAGTACACGAGCTTCCTTTTCAGCAGAAGTGGGAGAAGCAGAACCCAAAACTTAGATCCATCTGGTTTAAAGACGATTATTGGAGGAAAGTTTGGATGGAATCAGGATTATGCTTTACAAAGCTACAGTTGATGAGGGGTTTAGATCTCTCTAGAGTTGATTTTGAGACGTATAAAAGAGGGAAGATACCCTCTAGCATTGGGAAGCTCATCCACTTGAGATATTTGAATTTATTTAGGGCAAAAGTATCTCATCTACCTTCTTCTATACAGAATCTGAAGAAGCTGCTCTATTTAAGCCTAGATGTATTACTGAACGTATATACAATAGCAGGATCTCTGAACTACATGGCCCCTAATTTCTTCAAAGAGGTATGCTAGAATTGGCATACCTCTCTCTTCCACGGTGCATGCATGATAAGACGAAGTTGGAATTAGGTAATCTAATCAACTTGGAGACGTTAGAGAATTTCTCGACAAAGCATTGCAGTGTGAAGGATCTTCAACTAATGACAAAGCTAAGGAATCTTTCTATCTATATCGAAGGCCAAGAGTGTATTGTGAAAACTCTATCTTCATCTCTTAGTGAATTTAGACAATTGGAAGATCTGTCTATATATGATGAAGAGGTGGATGAGAAAGAAGGATTTGTTTTGAATTGCGTTCATCTCAAAAAGCTGACGTTGAGAATATATATGCCAAGGTTACCTGATGAACAACACTTCCCTTCTCACCTGACAACCATATCTCTAACTTATTGTCGTTTGGTAGAGGATCCGATGCCGATTCTAGAGAAACTGGTTCAGTTGAAAAAGGTTAAATTAGGGGACCAATCTTTCAGTGGGAGGAGAATGGTTTGCTTGAGCCGTGGGTTTCCTCAACTACAGGAGCTTTCAATACAGGGACTAAAGGAATGGGAAGAGTGGATAGTAGAAGAAGGCTCCTTGCCCCTTCTTCATTCTCTCAGTATTGAATGGTGTGTGATGTTAAAGGAGCTTCCTGATGGGCTGCGATTCATATATTCGTTAAAGGATCTGACTGTGGGACAGATATGGAAGGAGAGATTGTCGGAAGGAGGAGAAGATTATTACAAAGTTACACACATTCCTTCTGTTAAATTCGACTAGGAATGAGGCTCTCAGCAATTTTCTTCGTGTACACAGGTAAAATATTATTTCATCAAGTAAACAAGATCAGTCATCCAATAGAGAAATTGTTGTTCAGTTAAAATATGGCTTTATATTCTAGTTATTTTGCGTAAAATTAGTTATGTATGTTTTTAATTTCAGGCAAGTGAAATATAGATGAAGAGCTGCAGTGATGGGGTTCGACGAAATGTCTGAGACTTGATCTCCTGTACCGTTTTGGTCAGTGAGTTTCCTTTCAAGAGAGAGAGGGCTTTCACGAACTCTGCCTGGTATGACAAACTCGTATCTATCTTTTTTTTGGTGATTCAGAGAGAACTAAGGCATGTCATTCTGCAATTAGTATAATTCTCTTTTATTTGCGTTACCAAGCGACTCGGCTTGACTGCTACAATCCTTATCTTTGTAGTCTGATACACTTGCATGGGTGTGTAAACATGTCTGGTAAACAATAATTCCAACAGATTCCTTTTGCTTAATTTGTTTATTTTGGATAAAGAGTAGGAACTCTTAACAACAACAGAGTATCAGGTAACACTTGTCTTCCTATCTTAGTCAGCAGATAAACAAAAATTATATAGATATAGGAAAAATTGGTTGGGTTAAGTGCCTAGATAATTTGGTAGTTATGCTAAGCTAATTAGTAGAATAACAGTTTTTATTATGATATGTTTCCACTTTCCAAGGGTCTGATTTGGGGTTCATTTCCTCTCTTCACAGCTGGTCTGTGTTTGATCCTACTTCCTAGCATTCACCACCATATCATCAGCTAATAATTTCAGTTTTCTTTTTGTACTTGTTTTTTTTGCAGATGTGGAGAAGTTTAATCATCAGTGAGACCCTGGTGACTTATATCATCATCACCTATGTTAAGTGTTGCTTAGTTTCGTAGTTTATGGTTTCTTTCCTGGTATGGATCAATTTCAAGTTTTGCGTCTCCTACTACAGTCTGAGTTAGGGAAGAATTTCTTGTCACCGTGCATAAACAGTCTTTTTTTGCTTCATTTCTTTTGTTCCCTGATCTTTTGTTTCGATTAGATTATCTCGTCATGTAACTGTTTTATAGTGACTGTAATTATCGTTTTCTTGATTAAATATCAGCTGCAATATAATTTTTTTTCTCATGTCTTGTTCTAGTTATCTCCTCTCTTCTTAGCTTTTAAATGTTTCTGATTTTTTAGATGTTTGCTGCTATAAGATGAATTTAGTCTTCTGCGTGGTCTCTCTTCTCAGGGCTTTTCTTTTTCTTTTTTACTTAAGCAGAGAAGGAAATCTTTTGCCTCACGCCAAAATGGAGATCCCTCCGGAGCTTCTGAAACCTATATTGGCTTGATGTGTTTTGGTTCCCAATCAAACGTTTGGTTTCCGTTCGACTATACGGAAGAGTTGAGAGTTAAAAATATCAGCCATGGAAACCAAGTAAACAAATGGAGAGTCTGAGTTAGGGAATAATTTATAAACAAACAGTCTATTTTGCTTCATTAGTTTGTTCCCTGATCTTTTCTGTTTCCATATTTTAGAATTTCAGTGGATTACCTTGTCTTGTAACTGTTTTGTTGTAACAATCTCTTGTTATCTTGTTCCTGTGATTTACTTGAAAGGAAATGATTAGACAGAAGACTTAAACTAAACTTGGACCAATTTTTTGACGTATAAAAAATCTTAGTTTTCCCTTTCTTTCTGAACTAAAATGTAAAAAAGACACGTGGGAAGTAAGAAGTGGCTACAATAGATTGCATGTAAGACTTTTTGGGTAGATGATCCACACATCATCTTCACCACAGCTGGTTGTTCGATGGTATTGAATTGACTTGGAATCAACTCTAATAATGGATCTTTAGCAAAGTTCTAACTCAACGCTAAACAAATACATCAGTTGGACGAAAAGATATTCCAGGAGGTGATTTTTTTTTATTTATCTATATATCTTTTTATAGTTTGCTATGGATCAGGAAGGTGCTTCGATCCTATGTATTTTGCATCTTTTAAATCACATAAATGTTCATGTCTATGTACAAATGACCTTTAATTTGGACTAATATCCCACAGAATAGTTTATTTATTCTCTGAATTTTCAAAAGTATTATCTGAATTATGAACTCATGTTTTTAAGCAGAAAACTTATGGCTGAGACACTTTTGTCCGAGAATCGGAGCGATTTCAAGGAGTTGAAGAGCAATTTAATGAATTAAAAAGTGATCTGAATATGTTAAGGTGCTTTCTGGAAGATGCAGATGCCAAGAAACATACAAGTGCAATGGTGAGAAATACTGTGATAGAAATCAAGGAAATCGTTTATGACGCAGAAGATATAATCGAAACATTTCTTCTAAAGGAAGAACTGGGAAAATCAAGTGGCATGATCAGGAACAGTGTGAGAAGGTTTTCTAAACGCATTGGGCTTTCTTTTGATATGAAAGCCATTAGTAGGAGGATTGCTAAGGTGATCCGTGATATGCAGAGTCTTGGTACACAGCAGGTCATTGTCAATGACGGGTATATGCAATCTTTACAAGAAAGACAAAGGGAAATGCGGCAAACATTTTCTACCGACAATGAAAGCTTTCTTGTGGGGGTGGAGGAAAACGTTAAGAAATTGGTCATTCATTTGGTGGAGGAAGAAAGCAGTCAAGTTGTTTCTATAACCGGGATGGGCGGTATTGGTAAAACCACCCTCGCAAGACAAGTTTTTAATCATGAGATTGTAAAGAGTCATTTTGCTGGACTCGTGTGGGTATGTGTTTCACAACAGTTTACAAGGAACCATGTGTGGCAGATGATCTTGCGGAAACTAAGGCCAAAATATAAAGTGTTAGACATGCCTGAAGACGAACTTCAAGAAAAAATCTTTCAGGTATTGGAAACACAAAAAGCTTTGATTGTTCTTGATGATATCTGGAAAGAAGAAGATTGGGACAGAATAAAACCATTTTTTCCACGGGTAAAAGGTGAGAACTTATGATACATTTACGCGTATTGGTCATAAAGCATTATGTTCTTTTTTGTTAGGGAGTTATGTAACAAGAGATTCATTTTGTATAGGTTGGAAGGTACTACTTACTTCACGCAATGAGGGTGTCGCGTTACGAGCAGATCCAAATTGTTTCACCTTTAAACCAAGCTGCCTAACACTCAAAGAGAGTTGGACAATTTTTCAAAGGATAGCATTTCCTAGAGAAAAGACTATTGGTAAGCTTTCAAAACAGTTTATTTAATTTTGTTTTCATGTGATTATAATTAAGGACTTTTTACTTAAGATGATCAATCCGCTTTTCCTTTAATCATATCTCTCGAACACGTCTATTCCTTATGGATATTCATTTAGACATTTAATTTTAATTTTCAACACGTTTTGTAGAATATAAAGTTGATGAAGAAATGGAAGAGGTGGGTAAACAGATGGTCAAACATTGTGGAGGTTTACCGTTGGCTGTTATGGTGTTAGGCGGGATGTTAGCTGGGCAATACACATTGCGTGAGTGGAAAAGGATATATGAGAATATTAGATCTCACATCGTTGGAGGGACTACGTTCAATGACAGAAATATGAGTTCGGTTTATCATGTTTTATATCTGAGTTTTGAAGAGCTGCCTATATATCTAAAGCACTGCTTCCTCTATCTTGCCCATTTTCCAGAAGATTATGTGATAGATGTGGGGAATTTGTCCTACTATTGGGCTGGAGAAGGAATACAAAGACCGAGGTATTATGATGGAGCAACAATTCGAGAGGTGGCAGATGAATACGTAAAAGAATTGGTGAAGAGAAACATGGTTATATCTAAAAGAGATGTTGGTACTTCAAGATTTGAAACATGTCACTTACATGACATGATGAGAGAAGTTTGTCTACTTAAAGCTGAAGAAGAGAACTTCCTAAAAATTGTTAATGACACATCAACTACAAATTCTAAATCTCCTTGTAAATCCCGCCGACTCGCCATAGATTGGCATGATGAAACATATCACCCGGTGGGGGAGATGAAGAATCCAAAACTTAGATCTCTCTTGTTTATGAAGAAGCTCAATTGGGTGGAATCAAGATTATGCTTTACAAGGCTACAATTGATGAGGGTTTTAGATCTCTCTAGAGCCCAGTTTGAAGGAGGGAAGTTACCATCTAGCATCGGAAAGCTCATCCATTTGAGATATTTGAGTTTATATCAGGCACAAGTTTCTCATCTACCTTCTTCTATGCGGAATCTGAAGTTGTTGCTCTACTTAAACATATGTGTACAAGAGAGATGTTCAGTCTACATGCCAAATTTCTTGAAAGAGATGCGAGAATTGACATACCTCTCTCTTCCGTGGAGAATACATGATAAGGTAAAGCTAGAATTGGGTAATCTAAACAACTTGGAGACATTGATGAATTTCTCAACAAAGCATGGGACAATGAGGAATCTACAGGGTATGCCAAGGCTAAGAGCACTCTCTATCTTTATCAAAGGCGGGTGTATTTTGGAAACGCTATCTTCATCTCTAAGTGAATTGAGACACTTGGAAAATCTTTCTATATATGACTACACGACGTATGCTCCTAGGAATGATGAAGGATTAGTGTTGGATTCCGTTCATCTCAAACAATTGAAGTTGAGAATATATATGCCAAGGTTACCTAATGAGCAACATTTCCCTTCTCACCTTAGAAACATATCTCTAACTGAGTGTTGTCTGGAGGAGGATCCGATGCCAATTCTAGAGAAGCTGCTTCACTTACATGAGGTAAAATTATTGAATAAATCTTTCTATGGGAGGAGAATGGTTTGCTCGGGCGGTGGGTTTCCTCAGTTGGAGAAGCTATACTTATTTGGACTAGAGGAATGGGATGAGTGGATAATAGAAGAAGGCTCCATGCCGCTTCTTCATACTCTGACTATTCGTAACTGTCAGAAGTTGAAGGAGCTTCCTGATGGGCTGAGGTTTCTCATTTCCTTGAAGAAATTAAATATCACCTTAGGTAATTGGGACTTCAAGAAGAAATTGTCAAAAGGAGGAGAAGATTACTACAAAGTCCAACACATTGCTCTTGTTGTGATTGTATAAGACTCTTCAATTATAGACAAACATGTAATATATTCTTTACGCAATCCAATCATCTAAGAAACAATTTGATAAAGAGAAAGAAAATGAGGATGGCTCGACTTCATTGCTGCAAAACAAGTTTGATTATGTATTTGTATCAAAACAGAATTAATTATTCTTTCTTTGACTATTGCGATTGTTAATATGTGACTCCTTGACGATATAAGTATGTGACAAGTGACAAAACAGCCAAAAACCTCATAAAGCCTCTGTTTCCACTGAAAAACAGGTGAACTCTTCCTTTTCTTGAAATTTCACTAGTGTCTAGAACATACCTGATTGGTCAGATATTCTTATAAGTTCTACAAGACAAGCGCTACAAGAATACTTGCATGATAGATATTCTTATAACATGCCTAAAGGGTTTAATCAAGCAAGACTATGCACTAATGTTTATTTTCAATACTCAGTGTTACTCGGCTTCTGTTCACTTATTAATTTCAAAGGAATGCTAAAACTAACTCTGGGGGAATAGATACTTCTTTGGTTTTTGGTTCAAATATTTGGCATCCTCTTTTCTAGTAATTTCGCAAAGCAAACTTGTTTTAATAATGTTTCAGATGTCTAAGCTCACCTTACCTACATGTGATTAAATATGGCCTAGTTGTTATAATTATAATGAACTTGTATATGCATTTTAACCTATTGTGATGTGCACGTGAATCCCACACACACATCAGCTAAAAAAGTGTAGGTAAAGTCTGTCTGCTATCGCTCTTAGTGATTTAGTTTTTCTAGTCTATGCGTAAATTATGTCGAGTTAGGTGAAAGAAGAAGCCAATATTTTTTAAATTTGTTCAAGATACTATCGTGCCCCAAGCTCACAACTGCAGTAGGCATATGGTCCACAGGTTGTGTGATGGCTGAAACTGATTCTTGGACAGGTTGGAACTTGGAACACTATTTTTGCATTACCTATATGATATTTTGCTCTCGGTATACTATTTTTCACCCTTAAAGACTTGTTATGCACCTTCTGCTTCCTCTAAGAGACCCAAACACTCGTCTGCCAAATGGTCGGCAACTTCCTCCACCAATGAGAACGACTTCAAGAAAAGAAAATAAAAGTGATTCATAACAAAACAAACCACATGAAGTTTGGTTCAGTTTGGTCTGCATAATAATGAATGTAGACCTACAAGTGCAAATAAATAAACAAAAAAGCAACAATGGAAATCAAACTTGTAAAAGTCTCTCAAGAAATGGAGATCAAACTGGGAACATAAACAGAGGATTGAAACTTAAATACCACTCCATCTATCTTAATCTTTTTGCACATATCTCCCCTCACAATATAGACCCAAGCTTGTCTAGGTTTCTTGCTATTGCAACACAGAACGAAGCTCTTCCCATAGATATTATCATCGACGAAGTAACTTGTGTGACTAAGTAACATGGGGAGGTCAGGTCTTGAGACAGTCATGAACTTAATCCACACCACATTGTCTCCATCATCCCCGTTACCAATTTTCTTCTCTGTCACCCAAATCTTAATCTCGCTTGTTCTTGTGCATTGTTGTAACACTGAAAACCGATCTCCCTTGTAAATCGAGAGCATACGATGATGGGAAGCACATTTTTTCCCCTTACACGGTAAAACACAAAAGATCTTTATTACCTCTTTCGAAAAATCGAGCATTTCGATGAAATACTGACCAGTTTCGGGATATTTATAACCTGTCCAGTACACATTTCCATTCAGGGAGACGGTAGACGAGTCGTCGTGTGATGTTAACACTTCGCCAAAACTGGTACGATGAGTAACTTCCCATGCATTGGTTGCAAATTCGAAGACTGCAACTCTATGGATCGAATTACTACTGGAACGTCCAATAATCTTGTAACTCTTTTCGGGTCTACTACCATCATAACCCATCTCTTTGCCACATGAAGACTCATCCGCGGCAATCCTTTTAGTCTGTCTCAAAAACGGGTTCCAAACCACGCCTCCTTCGTCGTAGTCATACATGAAGAAGTAACCATCGCAATTCCCATAGTAATGATAACGGCTACCGCATAAATCAAAGCATAAATCACGCACTTTTACAGTTGGATTGTCATTGAGATTGACGCTTATCGAATAAATATGGGAATGTGTCTTTAACATGAATTCTGGGCGACCACAAGCAAAGTTTTTGTCGGCGAATCTCTTATTGTGGAAAAGAGTGTTCCATTCTTTGCAAACGGATCTGAAGCGAACGAGAGATCGAGGTGGAACACGAATGAGTATCTCTTCTTCCAGATCTAATGGAAGCTTTCTCGCCACCATTAAGGTTTTCTTTGTAAAGGAAGGAAGTTAGAGAAGAAATACATATATATTTAGGGTAAAATAAAATTTAGGGTTTTCTTTGTAAAGGGAGGAAGGGAAGAAAAATATATTTATATACATAGCAAAAATATATATATACGAAATTTCCCAATTTCAGGACTTTTGAAATCCCAAAATCCAAAAGATATTAATGCTTGGAAGTTGGAAAGAGGTGCAAAAAATAGGAAAAGAATATATGATGATTAATTGATTATGTGGAGAATTAAGGGCCGGATTTAATGGCATAAAGATTCCATATAAATGAAATTATCATAATCTAAAAAGGTTATTTGAGATTTGTTTTTGACGAGTTAGGGTGACTTTGATCTCAATCAAATTAAAACCCTAACAACCAAAGCTGAGCAGCGCCTGAACATTCTCTGCTAATCTATCACCGTACTCCGTTACCAAGAGTCGAGAACGTGAATCTGTCTCAACAAACTTTAAATCCACTAGAGCCCCTCTTGTTTCCTAAAGCAATTTCTCTGCATACATGGGAGATTTTAAAAGCATAGAGGACCCAGAAATTGTCCAAGAGTCACGTACTCGAAAGAATCACGGCCGTTTCGTTTGGTCACATGAGCTCCACCAGAAGTTTCTCAATGCCATTGACCAATTGGGCGGCAACGACAGTGAGTTTCCCCATAAACGCCTTTTCACCTTTCCTTATGTGTGATGTTCCACTCTTGTCTGAGTTGTCTCTTGTTTCTCCTAAAGATGTATTTCGGTCATGTTCGTTTCATAATCGCAGGGCGATTTGAATCGCATGATGTTGTTCGTTTAGCAATCGCGCGACTAATCGCTATTTGAAAAATCAGTCGCAAGTTGCATCGCTAATTTTTTTTGCGATCAAAAAAATCAGTCGCAAGTCGCAGCGATTGATCGCGCGATTAGTCGCAGCGATTGATCGCGCGATTAGTCGCAGGATCTTGCGACTGCCAAACGAACAACTTTCAGTAGCAGTCGCAGGCTCCTGCGACTGCCAAACGAACATGACCTCATGTGTGGAGTCCTCTTTTCATGTATCCTAATGTTTGTTTTCTCTGCCTCTTCATCACAGAGGCTATTCCCAAGAAAATACTTGCCGACATGAATGTAGAAGGTCTTACTAGGCTAAACGTAGCCACCCATTTGCAGGTACTCATTTCCCATTCTCTCATGCATTTTGACTTGTTTCCACTTTTGATGATGAGATGGTTCGACGACTTGTTTGTTTGTTTATTTCTCTCTGATTTTGGTTGCAGAAGTACAGACTAACTTTGGAAAGGACAACCGAAGCTCAGCAGCTGAACATGGCCACAAGACAAGTGCCAAGCTTCATCCAACAAGGGCATCACCAGAACTCAAGCAACTCAGCTAATCCATCTGAGTCTAGGACGTGAATATACGTTGCAACCAACTTCATCTCCACTAAAGCCCCTCTTGTTTCCTAAAAGCAATTTCTCTGCATTCAAGGAAGATTTTAAAATCATTAAGGACCCAATGCTGCTCTTACGAGAGTGATGGCTGCAACTTTCTTTTATTATTTCCTCTCAGGATTATGTTTTGGTTTTTGATATCTCTAATCTCAATAATTCAGTCCCAAAATGAGCATCTAGTTTTCTACTTGTGGTCGTTGAAATCTCAAAATAAACCGAAACTTGTAAACACTGCCAAAATACAGATTACCTATGTCACATACTAATGGGGTTGAAAAAACATGGGCTTCATGATCTTGGCTTTTGTGCTGGTTTGAGTATTCTAAAAACTCTGTGGCTCACTCTATGTCATTTTTCTCGTTTTCTTGGCTTTGCGTCTCTCTGGGGCGGATCTAAGTGCAAGCCTACATAGGCACGTGCCCCACACTACTATTGAAAATTTTCTGTTTTTAGTTATAATTATTCGATTGTTACATGGCAAAATCAGACTAATTTTCTCTCGTGCCTAAATAAACTTTGGTTCACTTCCTATCTTCTTTATTATTGTTCGTTTGTTTTACTTCATGTAATTATATTTTTTTACTTTGCACTAAACGCTACTTTTCAACAAAACTTTTTGTTTCTTTTTCTATAATATCATTATCCCACCATCAATACTAATTGTATATTTAAATCCCTAAATTTAGTTTTCTTTTCTTTTCTTAATGGCTATATATGTGCAGGTAAAAATTTATACAAAATAGTCATTCTTATAATTTAAAAATAAAATTCAAAATCAATACAAAATTTACAAAAAATTATTACATGTAACATTTTTAGCAATGTTATAGTACATATTTTATTTATAAATAATTTATAAGTAATTAATGGTGCCCCTGGTAGAAAAAAGTTCTAGATCCGCCACTATCTGGTCATGTTCTTATAAACACAAGAACCATATGTTTGTGCTTATCAGGTATTCCAAAAACGTTTGCCACCAGAAGCATTAGACCTTACTTGTCGCTGCTTCCCTAATTTGAGATGCACAACACGACAACAGTAAGTTTTTTCATGGTTTGGTCTGACTTTGTTAGGTATGATCGGAATCAGCATCGGAAGCTCTAATTAAAGCCATTAATAAATATGTCTTATGGTGGCTCTTTGGATCTCAGCTTTGGGGGTTTTTAGTAGATAACCTTCTTTTCTATAAGCTATACATAAACAAGAATCACTAACAAAGAAACGACTTTGTATATCTTCCCTGGCTCACGAACTAGATTTTATTCAAAACCTCTATTAATTAACCAAAGTAGGCCAAACAAATTGTGGAAATCAAACTTGTAAAAGTTTTATTAAATAAATAAATAAAACAAGAACGTAACAATGGTAATCAAACTTGTAAAAATTCTTATTGTTGACTAGCTTCAGCAAAAGTCTCTCAAGAAATGGTGATCAAACTGGGAACATAAAAAGAGGATTGAAACTTACATAGCACTCCATCTATCTTAATCTTTTTGCACATATCTCCCCTCACAATATACACCCAAGCTTGTCTAGGTTTCTTGCTATTGCAACACAGAACGAAGCTCTTCCCATAGATATTATTATCGACAAAGTAACTTGTAGACATGGGAGTAAGTAATTTGGGGAAGTCAGGTCTTGAGACAGTCATGAAATTAATCCACACCACATTGTCTCCGTCATCCCCATTACCAATTTTCTTCTCTGTCACCCAAATCTTAATCTCGCCTGTTCTTTTGCATTGTTGTAACACTGAAAACCGATCTCCCTTGTAAATCGAAAGCATACGAGTATGGGAAGTACCTTTTTTTCCCTTACACGGTAGCATACAAAAGATCTTTATTATCTCTTTCGAAAAATCGAGCATTTCGATGAAACACTGACCAGTGTAGGGATATTTGTAACCTGTCAAGTACAAATTTCCATTCAGGGAGACCCTAGAATTAGAGTCGAGTGATTGTAACTCTTCGCCAAAACTGGTACGATGAGTAACCTTCCAGGCATTGGTTGCAAATTTCAAGACTGCAACTCTATGATACCAATTAGTACTGCAACGTCCAATAATCTTGTAACTCTTTTCGGGTCTACTACCATCGTAACCCATGCTCCTGCCACATATATTCTCATCCTTGGCAATCAATTTAGTCTTTCTCAACAACGGGTTCCAAACCACGCCTCTTTTGTAAGAATCATACATGAAGAATAAGTTACCATCGCAAGTCCCATAGAGAGAATAACGGAGACGGTGTAAATCAACGCATAAATCGTGCACTTTCATAGTTGGATCGTCATTGAGATTGACGCTTATCGAATAAATATGGGAATGTGTCGTTAACACGAATTCTGGGCGATTGCAAGCAAAGTTTTTGTTGATGAATCTCTTATTGTGGAAAAGAGTGTTCCACTCTTTGCAAACGGATCTGAAGCGAACGAGAGATCGAGGTGGCACTCGGAAGAGTATCTCCTCTTCTAGCTCTGATGGAAGCTTTCTCGCCACTATTAGGGTTTTCTTTTTTTTGGTTGGAACCATTAGGGTTTTCTTTGTAAAGGAAGCAATGGAAGAATGTATATATATATATATATATATATGTAAAAATATTCCATTTTCGAGTACTATGTTATATAAATAAGAGAAAATTAACATCTATGCCACATTTGGCCCAATTTTTTTTTTCTACCATATTGCCGGTCCATTTATCATTCATACCACAATTGCCGTGTGTAATGACTATTTTGCCCTTCCTTTTGTGTGCTCAAACTTTAGGGACAAAATTCATTGTTTGAGTACACAAAAGGAAGTTTACATACAGTTGTCCCCGAAGTTTGAGCCTTCCACAATTTCATCTTATTTTTGCATGTTAGCTGGTTTTTGTCGTCCCTCGATTTTAATTCATTGTTCTTCGATCTTAGTTCTCCTAAATTCTAATTGCGGTTTTTTTATTTTGTTTGATGTTTATATTTCGTTTGATTATTGTCCTCGAATAGGTTTACTGTCCCCAGATACTTATCCCTAAATATTGCACTTTATCTGTCACATCAGTTGAGGGCAAAACCGTCTTTTTAATACCACAATACTACATGAATGTGGTATGAGTGGAAAATGGTTATCAAATGTGGTAGAAATGGAAATGCTTTAGTCAAATATGGTAGAGTTGACCAAATTCCCTATAAATAATATTTGAGAAAATAAAACCTTTTTTATTCTTTTAACAAAAAAACATCTTTTTATCTTTTAGTAACTTCAATGGAGAAAAAACTCCTTTCAATGCTACTACTTTGGCGGATTTGAAAAGCTTGAAATAATTTCATTTTTTTTTGGTAAAGTTCGTGAAAGTCCAACAAAATTTTTTTCACTCATACGGTAACAAAAATCACTTTTACTTGAATAATCACAAATTATCACGTGATCATTCCTACTTGAATCTCAAAGAGAAGTGTTCAGTGTAAGTTTTGTAGTCAAAGCTTTTCATAGAAAATAAGAATCTTATCTTTTCTTAGGAGTGGGAACGGAGCAGATATCCTGGATTTCGGTGGTGTCTGTGATCCGCTCCGCTCCGTCCGAATATATAGTTTCTGATCCGTATAAGCTCCGTAAGTAACCGGATATCCGAACAACCAGATTTCTGGTAAGATATTTACTATTTGCCAGATATGAGATACGTTCAATATATATTTGAAAATAAATTTAGAAATTATTAAAATATAGAAGAAAAAAAATTAATCCAAAAAAGTAATATTTCATTAAAACTAGTAGTTAAATAATTAATTTGATGAACAAAAAATTATTAAACATATATAGAGAAATAGGAAAATTATAATTTATATATGTATACGGTATACCGGAGCGGCGTGGATATCCGCCTATTTAAATTATAATATTTGTGATTTTTTTCGTTTTAACGAATATCAATTTTTAGTATTCAATTTGCTTTATAAAACTATGGATATTTGAATTTTTTTTGAAACGAATCAAAACGGTTTTAACAGATATTTTGTCCACTCCTATCTATCATGATAGATCAGCAAAGATAAAAGAATAGCGGCCTGCTAAAAGCAAAGAAAATAAATATTAATTCTGTGAGCTATAAAACTTTGGACTAATCTATGGTTTATGTTGTTTATGCTATGGGCCGCCCTAGATGCAGTCATTTTCAGTTTTTCACCGGGAAGCTAACCTGTAGCGAATGCTTAGTGGAAAATTCTTTGAAGATGATACAGAGCATGCCAGTTAACCCACACAAAATGGTGATTTGATGAAGCAACTTGATGAGCTGAACCTGAAGAAAACAACTACGTTATGTATGTGATTCTCTCTAATATGCGAGTAGCTGATGGAACTTGTGTTTCATCGTATGGAGCTTGGAGAGATACCTTACCTATTAGGCTATTGTTGATTATTTTATATCCTGTTCAGCAAGAACCTAAGCAAATATGTAAGAATGAAATACAATTTTATAACAACGAACGTTCTTTCTTTTACAAGAGGTTTTTTTCTACTTTAAACCCTTCCCAGCTTTTTTTTCTTGATGTCGAAACTAACTATATCTTTCTTTTCTATTTTTTTGCTTTCTTTAGAACAACAATATGATGTGTATATTCACATCCATATATTTAAACCTATAATGAGAATGAGATTCATTTGTATGTATGCTTTTTCTTCCCGAGCTTTTCTCTTATTTGTAGTAAGATGATGATCAAGTGTTGTTTCTTTATCAAGACGTTCTTTCGAAACCACCTGATCCTATCTGCATATGCAACCACTCTGGTGATGCTCCTCTATTGTATTCCCTCGTAGACTGCGACCCGAACTGCATCTCCGGATTCTCAAATGTTTGTTGACCAAACTGAGTTTCACCAAATATAACAGAGATTAGCCAACCAAATCAAGAAAACAAAACAGATTTTTGCAAAAATGATAGATTTTCCAAAGGCAGTAGGAATAAAAACAGAGCCCAAATGGTTCATTGCAATGCTTAGATGAACCAATTGAGACTCCTACTCGTGAATTGCGATAGAAACATGTCATGTTATGTGAAAATATAGTCGTCTTTAAGTTCTGTTTTTGGGAAGCGGGAGCAAAAACAGAGGCCAATAGGTTCATTGCAATGCTTAAATGACCAAACCGCATAAACATCTAGACTCCTACCCGGGAATATCTCAACAGAAACATGAACTGTTTTGCAAAACTAAAGAAGATTTAGTTAATAGGTCATGAGAATCATCACCTCTTTGGGTGGAAAAACCTCGATACCAGGGTTCATTCTTGAATTGACCGCTTCAAGCTTCATCGATAAGAACTGAAAACCGCAAACAATCTCATGACAACACACATGTAAAGTAGAGTAACAAAACAATAGACAAGAGAAGAGAAAGAGGTTTTTCACACCTCAACTTGACGTTGCAATGATTGTATATAGTTGATTATCTCATCAAGAACAAGTGCTTTTCCAATAACCTACAAAATATAAAGTAGTTTCAATCATATTACCACTCTTGAAAATCATATAAATTATCCCATTGAAAAGTTTTACAATACCTTGTTACATCCCGGTACAAGATCTTGCAAGATTTTCATCCGCTCGCTTATTTTTTCTCTTCTCGCCTACCAAAAACACAAAGCAAATTATCTTTTACTCATTCCAACAAAATAAAAGAAACTTTATAATATCATGTAAAATCATTACTCTTTCAGCTAAACTGTGACTATCAGTAGCTTGACCTCTTCTTGCTCGAACATGAATATAATCTTTCGTCGGTTCGATTTGTAGCTTCTTTTGTTCCGTCTCTGTTCCTAGCGATTCCGCTTCCGCTTTTCCATCACACACTTCATCTATCTTCTGTCTTTTGTTCTCACCTTCACTCTAATCAAACACACACAAATAGTATTATGCGCGGCCTAACCAAGTAAATTTGAATTCAAATTGAACCATTAAACCGGAAAAAACCGAATCAAACCGAAACAAAAGAGAGAAAATCCGTACCGCGCCATTTATGGAGACGATCTTCACCGACTTAGACTCATCTTCCCTCCGTTTCCATGCGCCGGAGATACCTTCAATAACCGCCTGCGACAGTACGTGACTCATACGCGCCGGATCGCCGTTAGCAGCGGCGGTTAGATCGGTATCACCGAACTGATTCGGTCCAGCGAAGCTTCTTCTGGAAGAATCTCCGGCGGTTGAAACTCCGTTCAACGGAAACTGCCAGATCTCCGCTAGATTAAACGGTCCTCCTTCGTTCATCATCCCACTCGGATCCATCAACTAAATCAAAAACACATACGACGAAACCAGTAACAATAACCTCCACCGAGTTAACTCAGTCGCCGCCGAGTCAAACCAGAGAGAAATGATTGTGGCTTCGTGAGTATGCAAAACTCCTTGGACTGTGGAGTCTGTGATTGCGTTACTGTGTTGTTGTTAATAAATTAATAATATTCCCAACATTTTAAAAATAAATAAAATAATATTAAATTATTGAAAAAAATAAAATAAAAAATGTTTTTTTCTCTTTCTTCTACCTCGGGAGCTACGGTGTTTATTAACTTCACTTCATGGCGAGGTTTCCTTACTCTGACCATCGTTGACTTTGATCTTCTACGATGCGGGTGTACCTACGCTGCTCTTATGTTTCACTGTTGGATCTTTAAAGATCTAAATCAACGGTGGTTATGGGATCCACGTAAGGCTAGGTGTGATTTATGGGAAAGAAACATACTTTATGAATATGGAAAAGGACTTGGGGGGAAGTGGGGACCCACGTATGTTTTGATAATCTGTTTTTGGGTTTATTAATTGTTTTATTGATTAGTGATGGGGCAATGATGGGGTTGTGGATTTTAATGATGTGTAAGTTTAAGGATGATGGATAATCCTGTGTTTGAATTGTTCAATTTACTAACCTTTTAGGGCTTACAAATTTTAATGAGATGATCATTAATTTAGATTTAGACCGTAACTTCATAAGCAAACCCATATAATTATAGTGAAAAAGATGGGAAAAAAACAAGATTATTGTTTCTTCGGTTTAATATTAAATTTTGTTTTATAACTTTAATTTTGTTTAAGAATAAATGTCACTATATATTTTCAATGCAAATTTTAACAAAAAAATATACATTGTATTAGTGAGAGTAAAAATAAGAAATACATTTTAATTAGTTTTTTAATATATGTGCAAAACTTTAATATGTGTGAGAAATTAGTTTCTTTCATTAGCATCTTTGAACTAAATCTTAAATTGGCTTAAAACAAATTATAATTTCGAGTGAACCATGTATATCTTGTTTTACCTAAAGTTTTTGGCTACAAAACATACTTGAAGAACTAGCAGATTATTCGAATTATGATCAATGGGCTAAAGACTTAAAAATAAAAAACACTTGAATATCTAAAGAACATCAAATGGTGCTCGAATCAAAATTTAGTTAATAAGTTTTCTGATAAAATTCTAAGTATACATATTAATCGTTGTTAAGTGTTACATTTATATTTTCGTATAATTTTATAAGAAAAAAAAAAAGATAACAATTAATTCGTTGATATTTTAAATGATAAATGTTGCTTGGTTGAAAATATAACATTATAAATTATTTAAGTGTTCAGCTTTATGGTTGAGAGAAAAAGGAATAGTAGTATATGCCAAACTCTTGCTTGTGACCATTTCTTATGTTAAATATTCGTTAGGCTTCCCTTTCACCTATAAAGCTCTTTGTTTCTCCTTCCTTCTTCTATTCCGTAACTCAGTACCGCCCATGTCTCTGTCCTATGACGTTTCGACACGTGTCTTTGATGATTCCCGACAACTACGTGAGTAAGTGAGCATCACGCAATCATCGTCGTACCATGTTCCGCCTAACTTAACTCTTTTCAGACGGATAAAAGTGTGACGGAACAATATATTTTTTTTCCATCTATAAATATTTTTTTAATATAATTCCTGTTAAAAATTAATTAGTTTCCATTTTAGTAAACATAATGTATTCTATAAATACATCTACATTTGAATTAAATACACTCCAACCCATTCTTGATGATTAACATCCGAGTAATGATCAAGAAAGAAATATGAAAATGGTAGTTAACATATAGGATTTACCGGGGATGGAGATTAGAAATCATTTTTTTTTTTCCTATATAGAGACTTTAGAAATCGTGAAATGATTTAATCTTCAATCGTTAACCGACATCCTTACGATGCTGCTATGAAGTTTTGGGAAGACATTTTACTATCTAATTGGACTATTGCAACAAGACGGGTTGGTGATATCGATGACCATCGGCCTATGCTTAAACGGTCAAGACCGGGAATGTTTAAGTGTAATCTACCTACTCACACAACATAAGCGGAATTTATTAGCAAAAAAACTTGGGAGACTCACAAAAATGCCCCTTTTTCAATACCCCTTTTCAAAAATGCCCCATTTGGCTGTCTATTTTTAAAAATACCCCTTTTTATGTACAAAATGACTAAATTACCCTTCTTTTAATAAAAGATATTACAAATATATAAGGAAATATAACAAAATTAGGTTCACAAAATACAAAATATTTTGGGCGGGAAAGTGATCCCCCGATTTTTTCCGCCAAAAACACTTGTTAAAACTTGTAAAACCTTTAAAATACCTTGTAAAAATTTCCCGGAAAATTTTTTCCCGCCAAAAAATTTTCCCGCCAAAAATTTTTTTTTGCG